CCGCCCCCCCCCCCTCGCCTCCCCCCCAACGCCACCTCTCCCCTGCCCTCCCCCCATCCTCCCCTCCTTCTGCATGAGCAACGTTCATGCTGCCGTGTTGCCTTCTGTTCCACTGGTGGGGGGATGTGACAGTTGCTGCTCAGGAAACGGTACCAGGTCCTTTTTTTACTGATCGTTTTACATCATGAAATTCCAGGCAAGATCCTGAAATATGTTTGTTAGTTTGGAGGTGAATAAATCACCCGCCCCCCCTCCTCGTTCATTTAGAGGTCAGCCAAAAACAAAGAATGATGATGAACATTTTCACAGATTCACGTCGGTCTCCAGGTGAAACCACAACGATCACCTGGAGATCCATGGAGCTGTACACCTCCAACAACGCAGTGGAAAAACTAGATTTTGCTTCACAAAATGTTAAATTTTGTATTTGAAAATTAAATATCAGCTAGGTCCGATATCTAGTTTCTCCTTCAACGTGCTGTGGGCTGACGTTGCTGATGCGATAGTCGCCCGGTTTACGGCATGTCGCGCAAAGAAAAGTCGAGCGTTTGGCCTTAGGTATCGGATCAAACGGGCTACAGTTTCGATGTTCAATCCTAAAATTTTGATCAATTCTGGACTGATTCTGATCCTGAGTATCGGATCGAGCCGTCCCTACTTTGAACAGAACCGTGATCGTAACTTGCTTCGTTAAAATGATGAAAGACACGCTGTAATGTTTTTCAGACATTCCTGAAACGCGAACTGTCCTAGAACTTTTTGACTAACTTATTCTCATTTGTTTTCTTAAAGTACCCATTATTTCTGGAATCAGTTCCTGCGCTGCTAAGTGAATATTTGTGCAGTACGCGTCAGCCTGGTACCGATTCATCCGGTCCACTGACGGTAACACAGGTTGAACTGATGTACAGCTAATGTCCAACACTTCCACGCCGTCGTCTCTGGTTGTAACTCAAGCTGCGGCGCTGAGCCTCTCAGTGACGGCGCATCGGGTAATGGACTGAAAACTAATCCCAGCTCTCAGGCATATCATTTCAGATGTACTTAGAACTGTATCACCGCTGAGTAGAAGCTCTCAGAGTTCACCCAGGTCCTGGAACACAATCAGTGTTTATCACTGATAAACTCACAGGAATCGAACCACAGCCGGTGACTTTACTTTCTCCAGGTGCAAATACCAACCCGTGTACTGACTGTGTATTATTGTAGTAGTACTATTGGACGTACAGTACATCAAACCACATGTGTCAAAAGACATTTAAAAATGTTGCATCTTAACGACCAAAGTTAATGGAAATTACAATGAAAAAAAATTAAATAAAAAACCATATTTAAATATTAAGTGAACACACAGACACTAATCAATGGTCATTAGTGAAACGAGGAAACGCAGTTTTCAGCTCTTTTCTGGCCCTGAACGCATCACGGACCTGAGTCACAGCCTCACAGGTATTTTTACACTGAGCTACTTTAGTTTCTCTGCACCTTCACACACACACACACACACTTTTAAAAGTCAAACGATGACGTTTGGTCATTTCATCATGGATCATATATATATAAATAAATATATATATATGTATACATATATATAAATATATATGTATAAATATATATATAAATATCTCTCTCTCTCTCTCTCTCTCTCTCTCTCTTTTATATATATATATAAATATATATATAAATATATGTATATATTTATATATATATTCCATACAGGTCAGATGCATGTGGTGCAGTGTATGGAGGGTACGTCCTGGAGGAAAGCTGTGGAAATCGATCAACACTGTATGTAGGACAGAACACCTGCTGGGTGTTAGTGGGGCAAACACACACACACACACACACACACACACACACACACACACACAGCATGTCCAAACTCTGGTCCACAGGCCAGTTACTGCACGTTTCACATCAGTCCTGAACACTTCTCTTCTTCTTATTCTTATTTCTTATTTCTATTATTATTATATATTTCTATTATTTCTTATTCTCGCTCCATTCAAGTCCCAGAAAATTATCTTTTTTTTTTTTTTTTTTAGCTCTGACTTTTTTTTAACATATACTGTTTTGGATGGTTTTTTTTTTGGGAAGTTTTTGTTTTTTTCATCAATTTGTTACATTTTTACCTTTGGTTTTGCATGAGCTCAAACTGGGAATTAATTCAGGGATTTGTGGAGAATTTTGTTGACATTTTAGGAATGTTTGAGACATTTACTGTATTTACTTCTTGTATTTATTACTACTCTGGTTATTACTACTCTGGTTGTTACTACCCTGTTTATGACTACTAGCATTAGCTTCGCCAACATCACTGTGGTCACTCGGTCACAGATCTGTGGTCCGTCTCCGTCTCAGTCTCAGTGTCAGCTTTAGTTCCAGCCACAATTTACTGATCATCAGCATGTCCACACTTTACAGTCCAACCCCCCGGGGGTGGGGGGGTGGAGGGGTGGACTGTCCTGTAGCTACACCGTAACAACAACACCATCAGCAGCAGCATCAGAGATTTCCTTTTTCCAGGAGGCAGCGATGTTTTTAGCTGCAGGTTGGATTTTAGTCACACTTTTAAAAATGTGTCAACAACAAAAAAGAAAAAAAAAACAAAAAAACAACAACAACATCAACGTTTTTTTTCCCCCCAGTGGAGGCGCTCCACATATTCAAAATGAGGTCTAGTGTTCGGAGGTTGGACTGGTGAGACACAGATTCTACCTGTAAAAATGTTCACTCATCCATGATTCATGTTGCTGCTGTTGTTCATTTATCAGCAGAACACAGAGCAGTGGAGGAAACTGGTACTGCAGGTCTGTGGAGAACAAACCTGGGAGTCCCACAGGGAGCACTACCAGGTCCAACCACACGGTACAGATACGACTTCACCAGGAAAACAGGTTCAAAAAAAATTTTTTAACCGTCATTTCAGAAAGACATAAAAAAAAAAGAAGTCATTTCTGTTGAATAAGTTTCAAAAAAATCTTCACTTTAAATGCAACACAAATCCCCGTGCTTTTATTTTGAAAAATCTGACTCCAATAATTACACAACAACACAAACACAAACCAACAAAGGTGTGTGTGTGGTTTTAACACCTGCATGTCCACCGTAACCTTCTCCTCACCCAGGGACTCTCTCCCCCCTCCTCCCCCCCCTCCCCCTCTTTCCCCCCCCCCCCCTCGGGATGCCAGCCGACAGCCCTCACAGTGTGGCACGCCATCTGCTGCCGCCCGCCCCGGCAACCCATCCCATCCCCCCCCACCCGACCACACCCCACCCCCCC